CTGCTGATAAAGTCTGTGCTCACACCTTCAAATAAATTATTCTCCTGGGCACCTCCCCCTCCTTCTCAGCAGCAGATCTCTCTTCTTTAGGATGGGGATCACATCACAACACTTAAGCAATAAGCAATTTGTTGACAAAGAGAAATGACACCAAGAAAACATTTCAGCTGCATTCTAGACTTGGGTTAGATATTTTTTGTTTGTTTGTTTTCTAGACATGATCTGGCAGCTTCAAGCGAAAAGAAGAACCAGGATCATGTGAATGTCCCCTCTCTGGGGGGAGCGCAGCCAAAGGCTGCAGGCAAGCCATGTTCTCGGTGTCTCCGTGCTCACAGTGCACTGGAGGAAATAATCCTGCATTAATAGAGGAGCAGATCACAGCAATCAAACAGACCTTTTCTGTTTCTACCCTTGCCCATGCAAGAAAACCAAAACAGGAGAGGGATATGCCATCAGCCCCCTGTGAGGAAAATCTACTCCTATTTATGAGTACAGAGCTGTGCCACACAACGTAATGGTTAATACAGGTTATTTTATAATTGAAATAACCCAGAGAAGATGAGTATTTGTGGCTTTCTCAAGGAAGCAGAAATGTAACTCACAGCTCCTTCAGAATTATACCCTGCAAAACCTCGAGAGCAAGATCCTGCAGGCCAAGTCAGAGCAGTGGCTCAGCATCTTCCAGGCTGTGATCTGAAACCACCAGCTCTCAGGGCATCAGCCTGGAACACAGGGGAAAGAAGTATGTTCAAGCTTAGGACATCAAATCATACCGCAGCTTCAGCTTCTTGCCTACCCAAGAGGTAGCGTCTCCGTCCCCTGTGTCATCCCAGGGAACCAGCACCGCCCTCTACTGTCCTCTTCATAACTCATCTTTAAGGCCAATAACAAACTGGTCCTGAATAAGAAGAACCAGAAAGAGCTCAGCCCCTTGCTTTAATCCCTGACAAAGCTTTCAAAAATGAAACTCACTCGAGGGCAAGTGGGCTCTAGAAACAATGAAGCATGTCCCCCATTTCTGCTGTGGCATCTGCTATGTGACCAAGGGATTATTAACTTCTGAACTAGCACGGGCTTGGTCTAAAGAAATGGATACCCATTTCCATGTTAGCCACAGTTTCATAATCAAGTTGAATCTCTTTCTGCCATTAGACATGAAACCAGCTGAGAGCAGGCTCTCACCCATAAGCACCAGGGTGTCTGCATGGTAGTTCATCTCTCTCGTCTGTAATTAATCTCCCAAGTCTCTGTACGATGCAGACATTCACAGTAAAAAGGACCAAACTTCTTTCAGTCTCAAAGTCAGTGAAAATTCAGTTAGTCTTTATTTCATTCTGACAGGCTGCTTTATCCCAGAGACAATACTAAGATGCAGGATCTTAGCAGGAATTTTTTCTCAGGGTTCAGTCCAATTACAATAAGGAAAAAAAAATTCTTACCAAAAAAAAAAAACACACCATAAACATAAAAACATACTAGATTAAAATAGATTTATGAATGATTTTGCTTCTATCTGCCGTAGACCCCTTCAATATAATTAGTCTGTGGCATAAACAGAAAAAGACCACACAAGCATCCACCAAACCCATACTCCCTACTTTGTGAGTTCACAGATTAGGCCCATTTGGGCTCTGTAAGACACTGAAGGAGCCAAGCAAAAAAAATAAGCAAGCATCAAATCACTAAGAAAAATTCCCAGAGTGACTTTGAAAAGCAGTAAGCAGAAGCCCGAAGCGTGGTTCAATGTATGTGTGTAAAGCCATGAGGCAGCACTTTGTTCTTCTAACAGCAAAAGGGAAAGAGAAGAACCCAGACATAAGGCTATTCTGCCCCATCAACCCAGGCCCTACTCCACAAGGGGATGAGCATCAGGGAGAAAATATGGAAGTCCAGATGCTGGGAAATAGAGGCACAAGAGTGTGCATGGGATACCAGACATGCAGCTGCTCTTGCAACGGGTTCCTCAAAAAACTCTTTCTGTACACTGGCTGGTAAAAACTTATCCCCAGCAGCTAACCTGCTTCACTCAAGCCAAAGCAGGATTTCCTCACCCATCTCCCTAGAGACTTGCCAGGAGCTCCCCAAGCCAATGAAGGTTAAATCCAGTGCCTAGCCATAAGCCTGCCAGTTTGTTGGAGAGCAGAATAACCCAAACACCTTCTTCCAGGGAACTGCCTCGGATGAGGAGTGTCTGGCACTCCTCTTGGGGCTCTCAGCAGCATCCCTGTTTCTCCTTCCAGGGTGTTTTGTGTGCTTGGATTTCTTCCTGCTCCCCTCTTTTCCAGGCATCCCCTCCATACCCAGCGCTGCCAGGCACGGTCAAGGACCACACCAGCACCACAAATATCAGGATATCTATATTGCTTTGAGAGCATGAACACCTGTCCATTTCTATTATTTTTAATCTTTACTTTTTTCCCCATTACTTTAACTTGAGCACACAGCTGAGCACAAAACAAGAGTCCCCTTTGTCTAAAATTCAAACCTTCCGCTCACTTCAGGGATGTTACCCTATTTGCACAACGCCTGATCACCGCACATTTTTAAAGGCATTTACTGTATTTATCAAGTAAAATAACACCTCTGAAGGGTCAGACCTCCAGAGCAGACACTGACTAATGGCTGTTTGAGACACCAGTATCACTTGGTAAAGCCAGTCCCAGAGAAATCTGAAGCCATCCCCTGAGTACACATTAATTGTCCTCCTCCATTACAGACTAGGGGACCACAGTATCCCCACTACAAACAGCCCCTTCTCTTTGTGCCATGAAACATACAGAATCCTTGGACCACATCTGAGGGAAGAAGACTCAGTTAAAGCCCAGAGAGTGATGAGCCCACTGTAGACTGTGTACCCATCCACAACACTGCCTCTGCTTTTCTGGACAGCCGCACCACCAAACAGTGACATTTTTCATCTCCCAATTGCTTTTCCTTCTTACTCCAGAGGAAAAAAACAAACCAACCAACCAACCCACACAGTGAGCTACTACCAAGATGACTTGGATGGAGGACCCTGTCCAAGCACCAGTGCCGAAGATGCTGGGTGAGAGCCATCAACCCCCCACAGAGGCAATCTCAGAGGACCCTGCGATGAAGACAGGAAAGGAAAGAGCCTGCCAGCAGCTGGGAGAGACATTCATTCTATTGATTGTGTAAACTGTCAGTGAGGTGGCAACGAGCTTTTTTTTTCATTTCTATCCTAGGGAATAATCCAGCCTGATAATTAGTACATAAGAGATAAGTGGAAAATGAGACATCTAGCGAGGGTGGTTCAAGCCTCCTCATGACACTGATAATGTGCAGATACATAGATCACTGTCGGGGCAAACCGCCACTGTGAGCCTGTGTCTTCCCATTGCCTCATCAATCCATCATCCGCTTAGCTACTGACACCTTGGCAGGCACACACCGCCAGCCCTGCATTTGAATTGCGAGGAGCAGGCTCCACCAGGGAATACAGATTTAAAAATCTAAGATTCAAATTTGTTTAAGTATTGTGAACAGCAATTCCCTTGCAAGGCATCTTCATTGCCCTTTTGCCAAGGGGGAACAGTTGGGTCTTTGTTAGAAGTACAAATTGCTTCTTAATGCAAAGGATAAAGCAGAGCCCAGGCACCTCCTTAGAATTCCTCCTGGCTCTTGCTAATGCTGCTGCATGTCAATTTTAATTTTTTGAAATTTAAACCAAGGGCTTTGTGTCTAAGCTCCATTTTGTTGGAGGGAGGGGAGGAATAGTCAAAAAGGATTATGGATCCTGGGGGAATTGAGGATCCATAGCAATTATACTTCATTTGGGTCTCAGACACCGGTTTTAATCATATTCTAAATAGTACAAATTGACAAGACATTAGAGATTGAGAAGTGTCTAACACATGTACCTGGTTATGAACTCTGCTTCCTTCAGCTGGGTGGATGTTTGAGGAAGGGGTGAAGGAAGGAATTGCTTTCCCTCTCTGACCCTCCGCTTCAGCCAACAAGAAGACAATACCCACCAAAAATAGGTAGGTGATAGGAGAGACTGTAAGAACTTGGTCGTCACTGGGCTGCTCCAAAGTGGGGCTGAAACAAGTCCATCCTCGCTCTGGTTCCCTTTCCTTCTGCAACATCAGGGTAAGGCAAAGCTCCAGCCATGGCAGAGCCATTGCAGTCCAGCTCCTGTTTCTCTCTTACCTGTGAAACTGAACTAATGTGGCAATGGGCAGTAAGCTGATAGGGAGGTCAGAACTTCAGGAGGGAAGTGAAATGACGAGACAGTAAAATGAAAGTAAGTGCTTTTATAAATCAACTTAGCTCTTTTAGCTTTAGCAGAGCAGCCAAGGAGGTTACCTTCATCACTGGGGTGATGATGATGAAAGATGCACCTCCTCCAAGAAAGGCTGGGAACCACATGCAGTAGTTACACATCTCTGTACTTTGAAAAGGACCTGGAGTGGCTGGGATTTACCAAGGCTCAGCAGGAGCCTTTCCAAACAGACTGAATCCAGAAGCCTTTGGTCCTTCTCCCATCCCACCTCAGGACCACGCAGACCCACCTGCAGTCAGGTCTGGTCTCCAACCCACATGCACACTGCAAGTGTAGGGGTTTAGACAGACTCTCCCTGCTGCCTTCTTACATTTGTCAAGCGTGTTACAGAAACACGGCTTTCCATAATCAGTGATTAAACCCCTTTTCCTGTACTTCACTAACCTCTGGATCAGGCTCAGACCCAGTAAATCAGTTTAGCAGACCAGCTCCACACCCCTACTTTTACTTCTTGATGACTGTATGCCTTCTTTTTACAAAACTGAATGAAGGTGAAGCCTTTTTTCCCTTCCTTTTGCTTCTTCCCGGCTCCTCTGAACCATAATCAAGACCTGAGCAAGGTACTCCATCCTAACTTTAAATTTTGCTGCAAACCTATGGGACTGAAGTGACCTCCTCCTTTACCTCCCACCTTCCCGTGGCACCACCACAGTGCTCTTTTGCAGCACTGGAACAGACAGTAAGCAAGAAGGCATTGTCTAAAAACATAATTTAATGCTATATTTTGGTGGCTGTGGTCAACAACTGAATTCTTTCGCAGACATGAACAAGTTTGACGTTAGTGACACCATCATTCACACGAGCGTTGCATTGCACAGAAAAGTTTACACTTGACTCCATACAAACAAAGCAGCAGAGGAAAAACCATGTATCGTCCAGTCCCACTTTGTGAACAGTTGATCTGAAAATTCATCATAATTAATTCTCATTGATGAAGAAATGTGACCAGTTTGAATTCTATGTGCGGCACAGTCCGAACTCTGGGTTCTTTTACACCCTCTGGGAACCACTGGAGAGTTTCAAGATGCTGGGTTCCTAGTGTAACACACAAAATGCTGAAGCTGACAGAAAAAGGGTGGTCAGAGGACATGGGGGAGAGTAAGGAAGAGGATTGCTTTGTTTCACTTCTATTTCGTTTTCACAGGGGTAAAAGAAAACCCAATAAACCAAAACATACAAAATAATAATGAAGCTGAAGTAACCTGCGGAGACAGTGGACACCATGAAGCGGTACAGAAACACCAAACAGCCCCACATACATCGGTGGTGGGGCCAGTTGTGTTGCGTTGCTTGTTGTGTGCTAATCAGGGTATAAAAGAAAGCCCGAGAAAGTGCTGTACTTATTGTTGTTGCCTCCGTGAGCTTTTCCTCCATCCAGCTTGACATACACCTCGTCGCCAGAATCCAGGTGCAGCACCACACTGTTGCTGGCGTAGTCGTAGTTCTGGTCTGCATCTTGGGCGATGGCACTGGCGCGCACCTGCCAACATAGCCGCGGGGTACATTAGCCCCACGAGCCCTCTGTCCCGGCCCCTCCATCGCCCCCTGAGCTCCTCTTCCCCTGACCCTCCATCAGCCCCCAGAGCCTCTCTACTACCTCCTGCCCCCCTCCTCACTTCTCCATCACCCATTCCCCCGGCAAGAAAGTTTGCAAGCCGGGAGGCTGGAGTTTGCCGCGGCTCTGAAGCTGGTCCCGCGGTGCACCCCGCCCCGAAGGCAGGGAGGATGCTCCGGATGCTCCCGTCCCCGAGAGCGGCGGCGGCCGGTGCCCGCCGGCGGCGCCAGGGACGCTGGGGACAGGACGGGACACCCGGGGTGGGCAGGAGGAGCGGGGCAGCGGCGTGAACCCACCTGCCCGTTCTTGCAGAGGTCGGCCCACATGCTGGTGCCGTCGCCGCCGCGCATGAGGATGTGGTAGGTGAAGAAGTAGATGCCGCGCACCTGGCAGGTGAACTTGCCGCTGGTCGGATCGTAATGGTTGCCCAGGTTGGTCACCACGTCGTCGAACTTAAGGACCTCGTAGCCTTCGTGGGGGCTTTTCAGCCCCACGTAGAAGGCGATGCGCGGCCCGCTGAAGGCAGCGCTCAGCCCGCCCGCCGTCTCGCCGCCCGCCGCCGCCCCGCCGCCGCTCCCGCCGCCGCCTGCGCCCGCCAGCGCCAGCCCGGGCAGCCCCGGCTTCCCAGCGTCTCCCTTCTCCCCCGGCGGGCCCCTCGGACCCGGCGGACCAGGCTCCCCGGGCGGTCCGCGGGGCCCCGGCTTGCCCGGCCGGCCCGGCTCCCCCTTGGGTCCCTGAACGAAGGGCGGCGGGGGGTTGGCCCCCAGGTCCTGCAGGGCCTCCACGGCGGCGGTGCTGCCGGGGCCGGGCGGCCGCCCGCCGCTGTACGGGTCGCAGATCATGCGGCAGGTGCCCATCATCTCGTAGTGGGCGCCGCTCTCGGCTGGCGCCTGCAGCAGCAGCAGGGGCAAGGCGACGAGCAGGGCGACGGTCATGGCCAGGGCGAGCCCAGCGGCGGCCAGCAGCCGCCGCCTCCGCTGCCAGAGCCGGGCGGCGACGGCGAGCAGGTCCTCCTTGCCGTGCGAGGCAATGGTGGCGCGGGGGGCCGGCCGCTCCCTGCGGGGGACGGCAAGAAAAGGCGGTGAGACCCCGCCGCCGGCGCCTCCCCGCCCGGCCCCCGCCTCAGCCCGCCCGCCGGCCGGCCGCTCGCCCCGCCATGCCGCCGCCGAGAGCAGCCGCTGCCGCCCCTCTCCTCTCCGAGGGGACGCTGCGCCCCGTCCGTCCGGCGGGGCTGGGCCGGCGCGGGTGTTTCCGCGCCGAGCTACTGCCCGGCTCTGCCCCTCGCCACCGCGGGGAACCCGTCCGCCCGCCCCGACGTGCGGAGCACGGAGTCGAGCGGGGCGGGATGGGCGGACCCACCTGCGGGGCCGGGCGAGGGGGGACGGGGCGGAGCCTCTAGGGGGGCCTCGGGGGTGCCACAGCCGCTGCCTTCCTCGATGCGTCCGTCTGTCGCCACCGGCCCGCCCGCCGCCGTGAGCCGCGGTGGCGGCGCGGCCTCTCGGGCGGGGCGGGGGGGGGGGGGAAGGGGGAGGGGAGAGGTGGTGGTGCGTCCCCCACATCCCCGGGCTCTCCGGCCCCCCGATGGTCGGCACCGACACAGTCCCTGCGGGTACCGCGCAAATTGAGCGCACTGACACTCGAAGCTGCCTTCTTCCTCCGATCACTCCATATCACTCCATACCCCACATCCATCCCTGCCCGCGGCGGGACGGTCCCTGCGGCACTGCACGGGCTGCGGCCGGAGCCCCCAGTCCCGCAGAATGAGCTTCCTCCCGCCGCCGAGCCTCACCGCTTCCTACAAGAGGGTGCCAGGGAAAGCCCCGCGCAGGCAAGAGGTTGCCCCGGCTTGTTCAGCTGTGGCTTCCGCAGCTTCCCCCCGCCCAGCCGCAGCAGCCCAAAGATGAGCGGGACAAGGTCGCGAGTGGATCTGGGTCCTCAACACATTCAAGTGTAATTAAAATCCGTTACACCCGTCCCGATTTCCCGAAGGCAAGCGGGACTTGCCCAGGTGGAAAAGCAGCCATGGGAAGAAATAGGTTTAGCCGAGCTCAGTCTGAGTTACAGCACAATACTTCGTAAGTTTCCCTGTGTAATGACTGGTTCAAATCAAGGGGGTTTTCCCACAGTTTAGAAGTTGTGATTAATTGCCTTTCATTTTCTGAGGGCAAGGTTGTAGTCACGGCGGGAGCTCTTTGCACCGTTAACTGCCTACAGGGATATCCCCTCTGGAGAGTAAGCTGAGTTCTTTCCCCCTCATTTTATAATGTTGGGTTAAGCAGTCGTCTTTGGAAGAAAGAGGAGCGTGGTACAGTGATTACATAGATTTTCTGAGGGCAACATTTCGTGGTCCCCCCGCTCCCTTGATGCGTAAGAAAGGTGAATTTCCAGCGGGTTTACCGAGTTGAAGGCTATCTGGTTTATCTTACAAGAGCAAAGCTGCAGGTCGCAGGCAGCAAACCGCTCAGCCTGATCCAGCGCTGGTTTGAAGCTGATGGCCTGGAGGCATCACATGCAAGTGGTGACATGCAGGCTCCCTCCGAGAACTGCAGAAGTTCCCTAAAAGGACTCGGGACGCTTTTGTTAGCTTTCCTTGAAATTTAAGGAGGGCATATCAAGGTTTTCCCATCTGGAACGCACACACTTCAACGCCAGATCTCATCTCAGTCACATCTCTGTGTACATCCAACATTTCTTCCCGGACTTATTGGGGCTTTGCTCTGCTGCTACTGTGATCAGGATTCAGCCCTGTTTTCACATCTATGCATTTGAAGCTGGAAGGGAAATTAGCCCTGTAAATGAAAACCTTTCCCTGAGAATTGTATAGATAGCCAAATTAAAGTAACCGTGTCTCTTACTTAATACAATGCAGCTAAATGTTTTAAGAGATGAGATTGTGATGAAGATGTATGTCCTTTTCCTCTCCTCTGAATTACCAGTTGCATCCCACAGAGTTATTATAAGCCCCCACACTTGTCTAAAGACTTGTAAAATGATTTCTAATAGCTGTTTCTGTTACAGCCCTGGTATAACTTTAACTGGGGTAAATACAAATAAATTCACAACTAAATTGCACTCCTTTGCTGATTATCCCTACTTAAGCTTCTGTTAATTTACCTTTTTTTTCTGGTATTTGTCACTGGCCCGGCTCTCCCTGTGTATGTGTATGTGAGTCCTCGTGATTCCCCCAGAGCTCTGCAAACCTGCCTAACGTGACTTTTTTAATCTCCTGTTTCACAAAGGCAGCAGCCACACTGTAGCTTTTCTAACCCTTTTCTGAATAATTAAATTTCTTTCTAAATAATTAAAATTCTTGTATCATTTGGGCGCTGTTGCAACCTCTGTTTGTATTAACTCACTTTTATAATGAGGTGACAGATGCTGGGAACTATATCTCAGGTAGAGACCCACCAGCCCCTCTGCAAAGCCCAAATAATTTTATGCAACATGGTCTGTTACTCTCTTGGATCAACAAGGCCAGACGACGAAGAAGAAACGTATTCTAACTTTCGGTAGGACAAAATCGGCACAGTTCTTAACATGAACAGCTGAGCACTTGAACAAGCTGGCAGAGATTACAGAGATATCAGCAGTAAGGTCAGATGTCAAATTATAGTAATTTTGGTTGGGAATGATTTAATTACTCCTCTGTGATGTGCTGAGATGGACTGATCACCTATTTAATCCCTCCATCAGATCGCGTTAAGGTAAACAGAGTGACTTTCATGTATAATTCTGGTAGGTTCGATGTTCCTGGAGGCCTGGAGTTACGGGCTGACTGATGTAAAGCATCTTGGTCCCCAACAGGTGGTGATCTATAAGGCAGCTCTTAACCACCCACTGATGCTATGCTAGGAAGTATTCAGGAATACGGTTGCAAACAGTACATGGCAACTTTCAGCTTACAATTTTGATACAGGCTGCTACTATGCTGTTAGGTGCCTGCTTTCTGTATGCAATAGGAAGCATCACATCAGCACAAGGAGCTGATCAGGCAGTGTCTGAAGTACTGCCTGCCCTAGAAGGAAGTACGTTTCTTCAGGTGAGGTGGCAAGTAGCAAAGTCAGAGTTAGGCACTTTGCATCTTTCAAAAAGTGAGTGAGGCTGGTGCTCCATTGCAAGCTACTCAGGGCTGGCAAGACTCAAATGCTTCTGAGTTGGGTGTGCCCAGAGAAAGAGATGAAGGCACCCACAGAGCATCCCTAGTGAAACATCTGGACCTTGGCATTAGATGACACCTAAGCAGGAGCTTTGGTGATTGCTGTTGGCCAAAGCAATGGTTAAGTACCTTTTAGGTCTGTGTGGCTCTAACTCAAAACTCCATTTTCAGATGTGGTGTAAGGACTCAGGAACCTGGCCACTCAGGGAAGCATTTGACAGATCAGGCACAATTCCCAAGTTTAGACAGTCAAGAATCCAAACACTTCACATTGGAGCTCCAAAATTCCAGGGGCACATGAATTTCCATTGATTACCTCCTCCTTAATTTCTGCTTCAAAGCACAGACAGCTTGGGTTGCTAGTAACCCTCAAAAGATGTTTCTGCTCCATCAGATCCCTTCTCCTGTAGTCATTTCCAGAGCGCCTGCTGGATTGGGCCTCTCACAACTATTGCGTGCACTTGGCCAATACACACAAGGTAGAGGTGAGGACTCCAACCTCGGATATTGAAGATTTGTTCCAGTGTTTCACCGTTTAGCTGATTTTGACCTGGTTTGTAAAACTATGTTTCCAGTTTTCCTGGCGAACAGACTTAGCTTTCCAGATGCAGGGTGTTATGAATTGGATCTTCAGCTTGTTCTTTCGGATTTATTCTGCCGTAAAAATAGTGAAATATTCATAAGGGCAGAGGAAGGAAGAATAATTCCACAGGCTGGTTAGGGCTCCCTCCCAGGAGACATGGAGAAAGCAAGCTGATGACTGAAGTAGCTCAGGGCTGAGCTTTCAAAAAATGCCTGTCCCCAAGGCTGAGCCACCTTACATGGTACGACCACAGTGCGTCTGTTCAGGAGGCAAACACAGGACACTCCTCCAGGCTGTGGCTGGCCGTCTTCATTTCGCAGGGAGGTTGTCAGCAGGGTGACAAGGAGGAGGTCTGGGTTCAGCTTGATTTGTTGCCTGAGAAAACCCAACCTATGTTCCCTGAGAGGCTGCCACAATCTTCCAGGGTGGAAGCTACCCAGGGGAGATAGGGAGAGCAGGGAAGAGGGCACCACATGCCCTTATGTTGAATCTGTTCCTCTTTGCATAAAAAGAATTAAAGATTCATTGAGCTAAAAGGAGAAGAAGACCAAAGGGGAATATAATTTTGAGTTCAATGGTGAGAGTACCTACCTGATCTGCAGTTTCAGTCTTCCTTCAAGAGCTGTCTGTGAATTCCAGCCAGGGAAGCGAGGGACAAATGCAGTGTGAAGAAGAGAAGGTGGCTCTGGCAGGCACAATTCCCCTTCCTGAAGGATCATCCCAACTGCTGAGCTAAAGACTCTTCTTCACTGTGTTTCTTTTCTCACAGGTTTTTCTTTTGTCTTTTTTCTTTCCCTCCCCCCTTCCCCTTTCCTCTTCTCAGCTACACATCCTCATCACAAACTTAGCTCATGAACTGAAGCATGTAGTTTTCTCTATGTCTGGCAAGAGCTGGACCATCCCCTGACTAAAACAGTAACCCTGGCAAGACTCAAGCAGGATTCAGAACTACCGAGGTGGTGGTGGTTCTGGGCATCTGCACAAGTTTGCTATTGTACATTCGAGGGTCTTGGAGACTGAAAGTAGCTGTCTCCTGAGTTAGGTGCCTCTAGGATTAGACAGGAGCCAAGAGAACCTTTTTATCTCAATGCTGGATTTAGGTGCTTAAATTCTGCTTTAATATCTTCTTTCAGTTCCTTTTGGATTTGGCCCTTAATTTGAAAATGTAGTAAGAGCTGTACCAGCTCAGGCCTCTTACTGAGCAAAACTGTCAAGATCAAAGTCTGTGGTGATGCTTCCCTGGTATTCTCTCTCAACCCCCATCAATTAATTGTTTAAGAACTTCCTGAACCCTAGTGAAATACTTTTAAGCTGAAATTGAGATTACTGTGAGCAAAGGCACAGACTTCGGATCAGTACCCTCACCCATCCCAGTGAGTAGCTCTGGTTTGCTATCCTTGGTCATGGTTGATATATGTTATGGATGACATTACCTTCTTATTCTCTGAAGTGCTTCATTCATTGCCTTTCTCACACCACAAGACTCACAGATATTTCTCATTGCCAGAATTAACTATCTAGAACTCCATGTATTCAACATAGTTGTTGCAGACATCTGTTGTATGCAGACATACCTCTGTTGTATGTAGACATAATATATATAGTCCTTATACTAAAATGTTCACACTTCTGAAAGCAAATTTTAATCTGTTAATGATACTGATTATTTTTGCATAATAGAGGGAAACATTTAGAAATGGTTAGGCTTATTCTATTAACTGCCATCATTTCCCACAAATACTG